TATCAATAACATAGATCAAGAAAATAGGGAAGGACTAATGTTGGATTCTTGTAAGTTCTATTTGTAATTTAATTAATGCAAAAATTCATATTCTATGAATTGATAGAATTATATGCTGATTAAGGTTTATTCAATTTCGCCTAATAGTTATGAATATTCCCGTTGAATTTCTTACATACGTATCTTTCTAAAGCTTTGGTGTCAAATTTTATTTAATATTTCAAAGTTCAAACATTATACATATGCATGTTATAAAGTTAAGATTATAAAGATTAGCAAATGACAGCCAAATTATGTTTTATTGTAGTAAACTCTCTTGTGTCATATTTACTAAAATTGCGGATCCCGATAAAACATAAACTTTATTTATTTATTTATTTTCTTATCACGCATTTGGATTTTGGACAACATATGGTAGCATGCAATTCTATTTCTTTTCTTTTCCTCTTTTTTTTTTTTTTCCGTAAAAAGTTATTTTACTAATATAATAACTGAGAATTTGGTAATGGCAATCATACTAGTAAAGCTATCATTTATTTATTTTTTTCAATTATAGTTGATTAATGATGGAATTGGGGTAAGTGCACATTGCACATGGCACACATCATAATTCATAAGTAAGAGGCGTGTACTCCTAACTGAAACTTCTAAAGATGTTTACATTTTCAATACATCTAGAAGCAGAGTTGACTTTGGACCGACAAATCTTCTTAAGATTGCCATTGAAGTTTTGATTGGTGAAAGTATGTAAGGATCCAAATTATGGTAATGTCAGGTTTATCATATCCGTAATTTTAGAGTAGTGGCATATTTATTGGAAAACAAAGGACACCTTCATTATCACATCTTAAACTAATTTTATGTAAAATTAAAGCATCTCCAATGTGAGGTGTTGATTGAATAAAATATTAGCTACATCTCATGATATAAAATTAATACAAACATTACTCTCCAATTTAAATGTGACATGGATAAATTAAACATCCTCACTTTCTAGTTTTTCACAACCTGTTTAACACTCATTACGTCCAAGGATTTAGTTTTAATTTTTTGTTTCATTTATTATTAAAGAAAATAAAATTCACCTATACCTATTTTATGTTTTTGACCGGATGCATTTGAAATATGTATTCCAAAATTTATCCTTTTGACATTCATTAGATTTACATTTCATTTACTATTATTTAACATGTGTTAAAGATTAACATTGGAGCATAGAAAAAAAAATGACCAAATATCCAATTCCAAAGCGAATCAAAGTTAGTGAGGAAGTTGGAAGGATATCGAGAAACTTGACTGCACAAACGCAATTGCTATTCACCGTCCCCTTTTATTAGTCACCACCCTCCTATTTACTCTTTTGTCCTTACCTCTTATCTCTCTAAATTTCCGAACTTTCAACGAGCGATTCGAGCACCGAAAAAAATCCGAAAAAATGTCAAAAAAATCCTACGGTCTCGGCAAAGTATTTTTCTCTAGTAAGGTAAATTAATTGAAAAAAAAAGAACGGGAAACTTATGAAATATGTTTTATTAAATATATTTTATTTAATGCATCTGCTAGCAAGTCAATATATACAGATATGTTATATTTTAATGCAGGTACTAGCAAACGAGCTAGGACCGATGATGATGCACCCTGGATGAGCGCGTACGCAATTAGGAAGTTCTGGTTGCACGGTGTCATCCCAATCATCTCAACCAACGGCATCTTGTACCTGTGCAAATGAGACCAAGAAGACAAAAAGTATAATCAAATAAAAGTTTACTTAATCAAACACACTATTTAAGATTCATACTAATAAAGTATTCATAAAGTAACATACATGTTGGTTTTATACGTGGAACCTATGCCGACATACCAGTGATATGTCCGGAATAAATTGATCGACGCAGGATGGGCCATGAATATATGCGTCAACGCTTTCGTGTACGGATCGGATTCTGCATAAACTGTATACTCGCTGCTCACAGCCAAATGCATAAGCTGGGAAGGAACGTCTCTACCGTCGAAACTCTCTTTCCGCAACTTATCTCTAAAGTTGTATACCTGTCACCGATTAGCGTTAATTATAATGATTATTATAATTTTTAAAAAAATATTATGTTAATAAATAAAAAAGTATATTAATGCGATTAATTTGATAATAAATTTTTTAACTATCACAATAATAATACATTAGTAAATATAATAAAATTTATTAATTATTACAATAACTTTTACATATAAAAAATTACTAATTATCATAATTAACTTCAAAAAGTTAATTAAAACATATATTACAAGATATAAATATATATACCTGTCGCACATGAACGTTGTCTCCCGGATTCTTTTCCTTCAGCGCGGCCATAATTTTTGCCGGGGCCACCTGAGCGTCCGTCATATCACGAACAATTTTCTTAGATGAAGCGCTGAGGCCGCTCAACTGGCGATGACCCTCAAGATACACAACAAATGTATGGTTATGGTAGCCCTTCTCTTCATTGCTACATCTACAGATCCTCCAGTATGAAGCGCCGGACACCTTTTTTACTTTGATCTCAAAATTGCAGCCGCACTTATTCGTTTTTGTCTTTCTAGAATTTCCGCCTGTGCCTCTGTACCGTTCGCCTCTATGCCACTTCAAAAGCCTGACCGTTTTCTTTTTGTGGCTCGAAATTATTAATAGAAAACCATTCTGCATTGCCTGGTGTTTTGCAGCTTCAATAGCGTCCTGAGCACTATTATATAATGTACAGGTATCTAAACACAGACTGTAATCAACACCATCTCCTCCAAAATCTTCCCATGACTCCTGCAATATAGTACAATATTTATATTTTTAGAACATGTTAAATTAAGATAATTAATTCTAGCATGTAACATAATAATTTGTAACTCATAACATGATATTATCTAACGTCCAATTTATAGCATAATGAAGTCTAACATGTAACACAATAATTTGTAACTCCTAACACGATCACGATAATATCTAACGTCCAATTTATAATATAATCAACTATAACATGTAACATAATAATTTGTTACTCCTAACACGATACTATCTAACGTCACTTTATAACATAACCAAGACTAACATGTAATATAATAATTTCTAACTCGTAACACGATAATATCAAACGTCCAATTTATATTATAATCAACATGTAACATAATAATTTGTAACTCCTAACACGATAAACGTCCAATTTATAGCATAATCAAGTCTAAAATGTAACATAATAATTTATAACATAATAATATAGTCCAATTTATAACATAATTATTTTGAATATATAACATAATAATTTTAAAAAAAAATATTTGTCCGGCCGGTCGAACCGGACGAACCGGTTCCGACCGGCCGTCGTTTTCGGACGACTTTTAAGCCGTCCTGCCGGCCGGTTCGGACATAGCCCGTCCGACCGGCGAACTTTTCAGACGGCTTTTAACCCGTTTGAAAAGTTCGGCCGGACGAGTTAAAAGCCGTCCGGTTCTGGCGGCCAGACACAAAAATTTTTGTACTTCCGAATTTGACGATATTTCACCGTACACTTTTTTTTGAGATGTTTAGAAAAAATAAAAATGACAAAATTGTCCAAGAAAGACGACGAGTAGTAAAATGAAAGGCAGTAAATAGTACCACCCCTGCACAAATTAACGTGTAGTGATTAAATAAAGTTGCGGAATTTTCGGAGCGTTTTGCCTTTTCATTTCTCATTGATGTTTGTTTTCTTTATTGTGTTTTATCACGTTTTATTTAATTTCTATTATATTTATCTGATTGAATTATGACCATTGACCAGAAATCATAGGGTGTTTGACAAAAAGAGAAAATGCGCGTCATATATACCTTCTAGAAGGTAATAACTCAATCTAGTAATAGTATCAGTCTGCATGTTATGACATTACAACCAGACACGCATGTATTATTTGCATTGCATGTTATTTCGTGGGACATCAATTTATTAGAACGCAAGTGTTCGCCTTATAGCTTCATTTTAGTATAGGAAAACGAGTGAAAACTAACAAAGGACTTTTGAAATGACGGGATTCAAGTGAAAAAGATTATGGTAGCAAGGACGGATCCAGTAGATGGAATGAGGTGGGGCCAAAAATTTGTGGTAATTGAAAAACCGATAAAAAAATTGGCACAATATAAAATATACAAAATTACCATTATATGTAATTTTTTTTGTTAATAATTCAAAATAAAATATCAAAACACTCTACGATTTGCATATTTCAATATTTTTATCCATTTCAATGACTTAAAATGTGTTATTATCAATAAAATATTATTAATTGCCAAGATCTCTTGATTAATCAATCACATGTAATGAAATGTATGTCAATCTTAATAATACTCGTCGTGGGTATAGGAGAGCGATAATATTTCTCAATATGTTGGATCAAATAACTTATTGTAATTCCATCTCTTATTAGTTGATTTCATTGTTCACACGAATTTTTATTGACAATAATTTTCTAACAATTATTATAGTAGAATGCAAAGTCGTGATAAATTTATTTAAGAAGACAATGAATAAATAATACATTGCAATAAGAAAATTTTATTATAAAAGAAGGAGAATAAAAAACTACTTAATAATCAACTTCATTTATAAACTATTTTTGTAAAATTACTCACTTTACTTATTTATTTTCTCCAATTTCAACAAATATATAAACATTTTTTTTTCTATGTTTTGTTTTACATTTAATTATTTTATCAACCACCCATATAGTACACGAGTATTGTACTAGTATATATATATGCACTGTAAAATGTTATATTTTAGATTTAGATATATATTTTTTATAATTTGACATCTCTATAAAAAATTTATATTTATTAGAAAAAGTATAATTATATATCAAATGCAAATGACGCACTATATATGTTTTAGTTGAACATATCATTTCGTGTTAGTTGGGGTTTAAATATCTAATCGGATAATTATATTAGCCTCATAATCTTCATCACCAATTTTGAAAAAGATTTCCCAAATTAATCATGAAGATGGAAACTGAGAGATCAACAAAAAATTCATTTTCATTAAAATAAATATTAGGGCAAGATGATATATACAATAAAATAACAAAAGTAAACAAGTTAGGTGAAAATGGAGACAAAAGTAAAGAAATACTAAAGCCAACAAGTATCATTTAAGTAATTTGAAAGGTAAAACGGTATGAAATTAGAGCAATTTTTTAGCATGAGCTGGTTTATTATTAAATTCGCAATTTTGTTGATTACCACACACGAATATAATATGCATAAGCCATATATTAACCACGGTGACGATCCATCTAACACACCACCAAGTTGGTGAAATCTCGTGTTGACTACTTGACCTTAACTGCTTCAAGCGGCTTGTTACTTTATTTCACCTAGGGATCAGATAAGAATTCATATCCCTTCAAATTCAAGTTCACTTACAGAGATAATAAATAAATATGAGCTTAAGTATACTAACAGTATTAAATAAGTTCATAACCCGTGAAACTCGAAGAAAAAGAATTATAAAATATATTAATTATATCAGTGATATCAACAATACTAAACAATTAAAACAATTGTTCGGGAGATTAATGTTCACAACTGTTATATGTATATGTACTTATGTACATATATATATATATATATATATATGCGAAGTGGTTCAAATAAAAACATTTTTCTGGTGTAAGAACCGTGAGAACCATATTTGATGCTATTTTTAATTGTGTATGATGCTATTTTTAATCTTACATGGTGCTATCATTTTTACAAATGCTAACATAAATTGTGTTGCTATTTTTAATAAAATACATCCTGATTAAAAATAGCATTAAATAAAATCAATCATAGCACTACATACAATTAAAAATAGCGGTTTTCACGGTTCTCACGCTAGGACTTGGTTCTCATTTGAACCACATCCTATACATATATATATATATATATATATATACATATATATATAAATTGTTATATTACAACGGAAAGTCCAATGATAATTTATTCTATTGGAAATTCCAACGGATATTCCAATGGTATAGCTTTCGTTGGAATGATTCCAATGGAAATTACAACGAAAATATTTCGTTGGAATGTGTTTTCCATTAGAATTTTAGATGGAATTTGATAATTCCAACTGCTTTTTTACGGTACGAATTTCCATTGAAATATGCAATTTTCGTTGAAATTTTTATTTCCACCTCCGTTGGAAAATCTGCAGTTAGAATCGTCAAAATTGAACGAAAATTTTAATGGAAAACTCATGCAACGGAAATTTTTTGTTGGAATTTCCGTTGGAGTCCATTGAAAAATTCTAACGGGAATAATAACATTGAAAATATCCATTGAAATTGCCGTTGGAATTCTATTTGAATATATTTCCGTTAGAATTTCATTATTTTCTTGTAGTGAAATAAGAATGAGTTTGGTTATTGGATCCAACATATCAATGGTCTTGATCAAGTCAAATACTAATAATGGCAGTCAAACATAAGTGGTAGTGTTGTAAATAAGTGTTCAATCTTTGGTCAAATATTTACATTTGACCACTAAATAAGGACAAATTGGTCATTAAACATTCACACAATCATCCACACCACACCACATGCACCACGTGGGGCCCACCCCTTCATTAACAACCTCTAACTCTCTCTCACACACTTACATAATTTTTACCCACAAGCAGCACACACACACACACACACACACACACACACACTCCGACCAAAGGCAGCAGCTGACGGAGGCGAGGCAACACGGCGACTGACGGTTGACGAAACCGAAGCAACGCGGCAGTGAGGCGACACGCGGCTGACGATTGACGAAACCGAAGCGACGCGGCAGTGAGGCGACACGACGGCTGACGGAACAGAAGCGACGCGGCGGTGGACGACGGCGTTGCGATGCGGTGACGGACGGTGGTGGACAGAGTTGAGGCATCGAGCCGACTGACAGAGACGAGGCGGCAAGCCGGCGGCGGACGAAGACGAGGAGTCGTGTCTGCTGAAGATGACGATGTTATGAAGCGGCGAACTGCGGCGCGACCCGATGGCGGTTGCGTGTTGTGTGCGAAATGACGCCGGCGGTGTGCTGAAGTAGATGGACGGTCGGGAAGGAAAAAAATGTCCATGATTGAGGATCTATTTCATCCACTTGTGAATTGTGGGGTTTTTTTTTATGTAAATTAGATAAATTATAGGGGCTAATTTGCAATTTTTAAAAACTGTAATTAAAATAGTGAGTTGATGCTTATTTATTTGAGTAATTGATGAGAATGCAATTGATGCTTAATTATATATTTTACTATAAGTATTTAATAAAAATATATTAAATATAAAATGTTGACAAGGAATTTTAACAATATATGTATGGTTATTCAATTTAAAATTTCATAAATATTATTATTAGCATTTTATATTTTTGTAATTAATACTTTTATATTATTGTTTGATTAAAAAAATTAGTATATACGTACATAAAATATAATATGCAATCTAACAGTTATTAAAGTGCAATCCGTACAACACTATAGTGCACGGTGTCGGTCTGTATTGTGCATATCGGACCACCTAAACGATTGTCCCAAGTCAAATCGCAAATGAACATAATTAACTTATATAATCGGTTCGGGTAACCGAATTATCTCAAATAATTAAAATATTTTTTTTTATTTATATCAAGATTGTATTTAATTCGTAAATAATCTTATTTATTATTTTTGATATTATTTCAGGCTGAAAATGTTCGAGTTCGGTCGGTCCCGATTTATATTGTGCAATCTAATAGCGGTTAAAGTGCAACGTGTTGTTATGTAAAGTGCAACTCGATTTTTATAAAGTGCAACATACTGATGTGTAAAGTGAAGTGGTGATAAAATGTGGAGTGTGATGATAATTGCAACGTATTGTTTTTTAATGTGCAACGTGTTGTGTTATAAAATGCAATCTGATGATATATAAAGTGCACTAATTATATGATCGCGTACATATTATGTGTTTTTGAAACCTAGAATTAGTAGACATAATTGAACATCGAATTAACCTAATAATTTAAATAAATTATTATCTATTATTATAAAATTATATTTTTTGTTTTAAATATTAAACATATTAAATTTTTTAAACATTATGCACTTTATTTATCATTAATATGCATTCATGTGAATATTTCTATAAATTACATATTTTGTCATGAACTAAATTAAAAAATATCCAAAATTAATAAGATTGCAAACTTGTCCTCAACACTTTCATTTTTTTTTTGAAAAAAAAAAATCAATTAAACCATAAATTCCTAATTTTAATTTGCAAATTTAATACACATTTATATTTTAAATTTTAATAATACACATTTATCATATTATTTATTTTTAGCCAAAAAATATAGGAATTTTACATATTATATAACAATATTGAAATATTATTTGTTGTTTGATTAATTATAAATTTGACCCATAAACTAAATTGTAATATATTAAAGTGGTTACAAATTGCAATTAAGACCCTATGGTTTTTCAAAATTTCAAATGTGAGCCCACAAAATTTGCAAAACTTTCCACGCTCAGCACAGACTCTCGGCCATCCCTTCCAACCACCAGTTTCTGTGGGCTGAGCGCCCTTTTCAAGGAAATATAGAAGAAGAGGAACATTTAAATAAGTTTGATTTTTCAGTGGATCGTAAAAGCCCACTTGAGCTTCGGGTCGGTCCTCAACTTGAAATATTTGGCAAGGTTATAAGCTTCAAAGGCCCTTTATGTAAGTCACTATTAATAAAGCATGTTACAATAAGAGAACGTGCCGCCATCTCTTCCGACCGCCGCCAACGACTTTGCCTCTTAGACCGGCAACAATTTCACCATTCTCCTCAATAACGGTGACGAGTCAACCTCTTCCCCGTCGATAATTGCAGTTTATGTCTTCGCGCGCCGACGAAGTTGTGGCTCTTGCTGTGAAGGCCACCGTCTCCCTCAACTGCCTAGTGGCTGCGTTAGCCGATGTGTCATATGGATTGTGGCCTGGACGGCGCTCGAATGTGGCCGTGAATTTCTTTGCGACGATCGACTAAACGGCGTCGACGGTGGACTGTGGCAGTGGCAAGAGTATAACGACTGGACGGGCGGTGCTGTGGCGGCGACGGGACAAGGCGGGCGGTGGTCGCGACTGTCTGCAACTTCAGGCGAGTCTGACGGAGGTAGGTGTATGCTTTGGTGGTCCGACGAGGCTTGACGGTGAGCAGAAGATGGCGACACTCGACGGCAGGCGGTGGTACTTAACGGCGGGAGGCAGCGGGCGAATGATGGTGCAGCTGGAGTGGTCACCGGTGCACAGCCCTGACATGTGTGTGTGAGTAGGTGAGAGAGAAGTTTGTGCTGATGTGCGTGTGCGTGTGTCATGTGTGTGTCTGCGTGTGTTGTGGGTGTGTTAGGTGTGTGTGAGGGGTGATGTGGCATAGTGATGTGTAGGTGATGTGTAATTGTAATGACCAAAATAGCCTAAATGAAGGTATAATTTTGGTTTTTTTAGCCATTAGATCATCCGATCATACGATTTATTCTCATTTCTTTCATTGAGAACCGTTCTCATGTGAACCCAACCCTATATATATATTTTCTTATTATGAGAAATTAAATATATAGTAATATCACATAGTTTGAAATGATTATTAATTTGATATATTATATATGTAAGAAACGGGGGCAAAACAGATGCGGTCCCACACACATGAAGCGCATCATAAGCAGAGAAAGCCAAATAAAGCCCAAGTGGTGTTTCGAAGAAGAAGTAGCTCATTAAACTTTTTTTTTTCTTAGAAACTCTCACTCTTTTTTTAGGGAATGGTTAACAACAAACTAAAATATTTTTTTTTTTTTTTTTTTTTANCGACTAAAGTAAACTTTTAAATTTGATATTAAATATCAATTCTAATTACATCTAAATTCCAGACATGTGAACCCTCAAGATTAGTAGGTAAATTTCCCATTTCCCCAGTTGTCATTTAAAAATAAAGTAGATGGCCTTCCTACAAAATGACCAAAAACTAACTACAAAAGCGGTGAAGAGGACAGAAAACAAGCCATGAAACAAAGCAAGAAAAAGCACCCAACACATTTACCCATTTAAGCTTCAACTCCAGCATAGAGCACCCATCATCATAAAACTTTCTCCACTTTCTCCTTCATGAAATAAAAAATAAAAAAATAAAAAAATGGAAGGTGGTGAAATATTCAGAGTTAACAGCTCCAACATATGGAGAAACACCGGTATGGAAGCTTTCTCGAGATCCTCCCGTGAAGAAGAAGACGACGAGGAAGCTCTAAGGTGGGCCGCGCTCGAGAGGCTCCCGACCAAGATTCGTATCAAAAGGGGCATACTTACAGAAGAACAAGGCAAGTCACGAGAAGTAGACATAAAGAACCTCGGACTTGTCGACAAGAAAAACCTCGTTGACCGACTCTTGACCATTGCCGAGGAAGGCAACCAGAGGCTTCTGCTCAACCTCAAAGACCGCATTCAGAGGTAAACTATTTCTAACTCTTGTTTAATTAGAAAGTTTTAATTTATCCTTTTTTTTTTTAAATAATGTTTAAATTGAAACAGGGTCGGTCTTGATCTCCCGACTATCGAAGTGCGATTCGAGCATTTGAATGTGGATGCGAATGCGTATGTGGGCGGAAGAGCCTTGCCCACTGTGTTTAATTTTATTGTTAATATCTTAGAGGTACATTTCAAATCTTGTTCAGACATAATAATATTTGTAGGAAATAAAAAAAAAAAGAAAAGAAAAGAAAAGAAAAGAAAAGATCTGACTCCTTTGCTCTGTTTTTGTTGACTCTGTTTTTTCTTGTACAGGGTTTCTTGACTTGTCTTCGTGTTATCCCAAGCAGAAAGAAGCCATTGCCAATCCTCCACGATTTAAATGGAATAATCAAACCTGGAAGGTAGTCAGTTCCACATTAGTGTAAAAACTAAATACCTTTGTTTTGTTATTTTCCATTTTCCTTAATAACTTAATTACTCTGCTTTTCTTTTTCTTTTAAAGAATGACACTCCTGTTAGGGCCTCCGAGTTCCGGAAAAACCACATTGCTGCTGGCCTTAGCCGGAAAACTTGATCCGGAGCTAAAAGTAAAGAAATATTTGTATTTTCTTTTAAAAAAACAGAGGAAATGGAAAAATTAGTTTGACTTCTAATTTGACGGGCCTTTTTTTTTTTTCATTGTGGTCCGCAGGTGTCGGGAAGAGTAACATATAATGGGCACGAAATGACTGAATTTGTGCCACAAAGGACTTCGGCTTACATAAGCCAAAATGATCTGCACATAGGAGAATTAACAGTTAGAGAGACACTCGCTTTTTCGGCTAGGTGTCAAGGAGTAGGACCTCGTTATGGTATGATAATCAATTTTTTCAGTTTATCTAAACTTTCGGTTTTGCTACATATTAGGGAGAATTTTTTTGAGATTCTTTTTTTTTTTTCAAATGGGATTTGCAGAAATACTAGCTGAATTGTCGAGGAGGGAAAAGCAGGCGAACATTAAGCCGGACCCTGATCTCGATGTTTTCATGAAGGTTTTGATCATAAGCTTCAGATGAAATTTTTGTGGAGTTTTTTAGTTATTATTTATATTTATTAGTTCATCTTTTGAGATTTTTTGGTTTTCATTCTCCAGGCAGCATCTATTGGAGGGCAAGAAGCGAGTGTGGTGACCGATTACATAATCAAGGTAACCATTTCACTAACTTCCCATCACATTTGGCTCTAACAAACTGCAAAAGAACCAAATTAGACAAAACATCACTTTTTTTGTAATTTATAGATATATTTCTAACTCTGCAGATATTGGGACTCGAAGTATGCGCGGATACTTTAGTCGGGGACGAAATGGTCCGTGGGATTTCCGGAGGACAAAGAAAGAGGCTAACAACAGGTACCGTTTACTTTCTT